GATACAGCTAGCATTCACATATATACATACATATAGATACACTTGAAGAGTAGAACACGTTACGCGCATACGCACTTTATTGGCCTTGTTCAATGCAGTGTATAAAGCTCTGCTGATAGCTTCTTTTATTTTGGAATTGCGTGCCAGAGTGTTTAGTGTTGCTTCCAATTATAGCTTATAAAAAAAATAGCTTAAAATACTAATTACCGGAATGCTGAGGAAGATGCACTTTTAACTTTTGCTTTTGATTATTAGATTTTAACTTGCAAGAAGCCGAACCAAACAGGGCCATTATGACCCATCGATCGAATTTTACTGCTTGAAAAAAATATTTACAAACTTACTGGTCACTTCTCAGAGTCAATTTTTGAATCGAGATTTACAACCGACCAACATTCAAAAATACATTCTAAAACAATGTCAGAGCAGTGACTTTCACGAATAACACAATAGGATGACTATAACGAAATTTTCATCTCCCATTACCTCCAAAAAATGTTAGCTACTCAGCTTACTTTGCAATTTAAGAAATGTTGATCATGAAACATTTCATCTCCCACACACACACGTACATACACACTCTCAGAGAGAGAGAGAGCCAATCATACGGCTACTAATATCTGATCCTAATTTCTTACATGGATGATCTACTAGGCAAGCACTAAAAGATGAACGGTCTAAATTAAGTTCAACAAATCCTACCTTATCTGACTCCACTATCAATGCAAATCAGCAATTTTATTTTAATTTATTTTCAACACAATAACACAATAGGATGACTACAACGAAATTTTCATCTCCCATTACCTCCAAAAAATGTTAGCTACTCAGCTTACTTTGCAATTTAAGAAATGTTGATCATGAAACATTTCATCTCCCACACACACACACGTACATACACACTCAGAGAGAGAGAGAGTTAAGGAAATGTGGAATGGAAATGTGGAATGGAAATGTCAATACTTTCCATTTGATACCCCAATTTTATATGGAAAAAAGAACCTACCAAAGCAAGAATATGGAAAAAAATGAACTACCTTTCACCATAAAAGCCACTCCTTACATCTCTACCCCAATCTCTACATCTTTGTCTTCCTTCTGTCTTTTTTCCCAAGAATTACACCTCTGTCTTCTGTCCTTTTTCCCAAGAATTACAATGGATCAGCAAGTTGTTTTTTCTCAACAACCACCGCAATCCATTGTTAAAAAACCCTCAAAATTTTCTCGATTTCTTTGATCCATTTTTGGCAGCTGCGGCGGGAAGTCGGTGGAGAAGACATTAGTTGAGGATGAAAAAGATGGGAATACAGATTATTTTTCTTCTTTTTCTTCCTCCGGCTTGGACTTGAATTCAGCTTATTCTTCAAAGGAAAAGGGCAGTAAAAATGGAGAATTGCAAAATGAGTTTCAGAAGGCGACAGATGACATTAAGCAAGAACTTCAAGTGGTTGACTTGGAAAAGGAGTTGACAGAAACTACTGAAGAGAAGGAAGCAGAGAAGATGATTAGTGATTTAAAGATGGAAGCTGAAACGTTGAATGGTGAGAATTCAAAGCTTTTACAAGAACTTGTCACCGAATGTAGCCAGATGATGGAGAAATTGGGTGAGAGAGAAAAGGAACTTGCGAGTCACACCGAGATGCATGAGACCCATAAGAGTGAAACATCAGCTCGAATGAGGGGTTTAGAACTTGAGTTGGATTCTCTGCGTCCCTAGAAAGGAGATGAAGTGAAGTTGCTGATGGAGAATCACAGCACAATTGAGGAAGACTACGGGTACTTTGAGAGCCGTGTTCATGAAATTCTGAACGCGTTTCAGGGTGCAAAGAACAAGGTCAGAGAATTGGAAGAAACAATCGCAGAGGAGTCAGAAAAAAATAGGAAGATGCTCCAAGAGCAACAAGGTATTCTGGTACAGGTGAAGGAGCTGGAATGGGCGGTGGACTCTCTACGGAACTAGAATGGTAATTTGGAAGAACGGCTAAGAAGTAAAAAGCACAACACCGAGACTGATCAGATTAATCAGATGCCAGGGGTCTAAGAAGAAGAAGAAAGGAAGAGCAACGAAGATGAAGATGAAGATGAAGATGAAGATGATGATTCTGAGTACCCTACCCTTGCCGATGAGATCAGGCCCGTTTTCCCTATTTTCGGCAGAGATGAGCTCGTCGGAGTTCCGACAGGAACCTACTACGTCTCTGGAAGAGTGAAGCCAACAGTGGCCAGAGGAGGAGTGAGGGTGGCGCAGGAGAGAGATCGGAGGAGGCGGTTGTTGATGCCGTATAGGCAAGAAGGGTTCTTTGCTAATGTGGAGATGTTGACCAGAAATGTCTAGCAAATTGGAAATGCTCTCAAAGCTATCGTCTGGTAAAAGAAGGCCAAACAATTGTTCTAAATTTTTATTTATTTTTATTTTATTTATTTTTTTGTATTTATGTCTATTATTGTATTTTTAATTGATTGTTATATTTGATTGGTTTATAAGAACTTTTACCACTTTAGATTTTGATTTTAAAAAAATAATAATTTTACCTTTAGATTCATATAGACAAGGTAGACTAGAAAAATAAAAAATTGACATAATTTTAAATAAAAAAATCACTAAAAACAAAAAAAAAAATTAAAATAAAATATAATTTATTTAAAATTTCCGGACAATTAAAAATTAACGAGTTTAAAAAATATATTAAAAGTTTAGTTTGTTTATCATTCAAGTCAATTTCAAATGAGCTTTAATAAATAAAAAAAAATCACAAATTAAGTTAAAATAGTTTGATTTTTTTTAAAAAAGTTCTATAATACATATAAATTATACCCCCCGATCATGATTGAAGCTTTTATGTACTGATTTAAGTAAATATTTCAATAAAAATTCTAATTGTAAACTTTTATTCTATTTGGAAACTGATTGTTGCGCTATTACGTAATTTAGTGGGCTTTTTGATCTATTTCAAGCATTATTTTTTTACTTTTAAAATTTATTTAATTTAAATATACCTAAAAAGTAAAAAAAAAATATGAACATAATTTTAAAAAATCACTAAATACAATTTTTTTTAATATTTCTTTACAAATATTTTATTTTTAAGTGCATATAACTTAAGAAACAATTTTTTTTTTAAATATTTAAAAAGTTCACTAAATACAAAAAAAAATTAAAAATCGTTTTTAAGATCTCAAAATCAAACAATCTATAATTTTTATTTAGATTTTTTTTTTTTAACAAAAAATCTCATAAAATTTTAACAGTGTTATTTACCAAACTGTTGGATGTTTACGTCAATATTTAAATTAAATCTTTTTTCATTTGAGTAAAAAATGAATAAAACTCAATTTGATATGAGTATGAAACAAAAAGTTTAAATGAATTTTGAATATTTTTTTACTGAAATTTTAATTTGAGTCAGTACATGGATGTGAATACATTATGCATAATTTGATTATAAGAACATCTTAAGTTCACTCTCATTCAATTCATTTGGTTCATTGTGACCCTGTTACAACTAATATTTTTCTCAAGCTCTAAGTCGAAATAAAATTAGATTAAAACTCTAAATAGCATTCCCAACTACTAGTCTCAAGACATTAAATAATTTTGAAAATTCTAAGTGCACATAAATCGGATACTTGAATAGTTTTTCTAGTTGATTATGATATTTGATTGGTTTATTTTGACAATATCATTTGTTGGTGGAACTTTTATTAGTTTAGATTTTGATTTAAAAAAAAAATAATTTTATCTTTAAATTCATCTAGACAAGGTAGACTAGAAATATAAAAAATTAACATAATTTTAAATAAAAAAATCACCAAAATTTTTTTTTATAAATAAAATATAATTTATTTAAAATTTCCCGAACAATTAAAACTTAATGAGCTTAAAAAATATATTAAAAGTTTAGTTTGTTTATCATTCAAGTCAATTTCAAATGAGTTTTAATAAATAAATAAAAAATGACAAATTAAGTTAAAATAGTTTGATTTTTTTTTAAAAAGTTCTATAATACATATAAATTATATCCTCCAATTATGATTGAAGTTTTTACGCACTGACTTAAGTAAATTTTTAAATAAAAATTCTAATGGTAAACTTTTATTCTGTTTGAAAATTGATTGTTGCGCTACTACGTAATTTAGTGGGCTTTTTGAATTATTTTAAGTATTTTTTTTTACTTTTAAAATTTATTTAATTTAAATATACCTAAAAAGTAAAAAAAAAATATAAACATAATTTTAAAAAATCACTAAATACAATTTTTTTTAATATTTTTTTACAAATATTTTATTTTTTAAGTCCATATAAGTTAAGGAACAATTTTTTTTTAAATATTTAAAAATTTCACTAAAACAAAAAAATTTAAAAATCATTTTTATAATCTCAAAATCAAACAGTCTTAAATTTTTATTCATATTTTTTAAAAAAAAAAATCTCAACATATTTTAACAGTGTTATTTACCAAACTGTTGGATGTTTGATTCAATATTTAAATTAAATCTTTTTTCATTTGAGAAAAAAATGAATAAAACTCGATTTGATATAAGTATGAAACAAAAAGTTTAAATAAATTTTGAATATTTTTTTACCAAAATTTTAATTTGAGTCAATATATGAATGTGAATGCATTATGCATTATTTGATTACAAGAACATCTTAAGTTCAATCTCATTCAACTCATTTGGTTGATTGTGACACTATTACAACCAATATTTTTCTCAAGCTCTAAATTTGGAATAAAATTAGATTTAAACTCTAAATGACATTCCCAACGACTGGTCTCAAGACATTAAATAATTTTAAAAAAATTCTAAATGCACATAAATCGAATTATGAGCTAGACTTGAATAGTTTTTCTGATGTGGTACATGAGTCACGCAAATTGTTCATGGTCCTTTGCATTGTAAAACAAGGTAGATAGTTCTCAAAAAATATATAAATAAAAGAAAAAGAAAAAAAGATAGAAGTTAAGGAAGCTCATAACTGTGTGTGAGAGAGAGAGAGAGAGAGAATAAAATCCAATCTGTAAATGACAAATGCCCTTGTGCTTAATTTGGAAACAAGTAGAGAGTAAATAATCACACATTCTGGTAGTATAATTATGTAGCAAAATGATGACAATCTAACTCATTTCTGTGTGTAAAGGCAGGTATAGACAAACCACAAACCAATCCAGAAAGCAAGAACTGCCGCCGTGATTTCAGGTAGCCAAACTGAGAACATTTTTCAATCCCAGTTGCAACACGCCCCGATCAGACCAACAAATCATGTCCTCAAGCTGGAAAAACATATGTCAATGTAACGTTGAAAAATCTTATCTACGACGTCTGTTTGGGACCATCTCCGGATTGCCTTTCCTCATCATGGCAACAAACTCATCGTAGTTAATTCTTCCATCCTGCAAAAGAATTAAAGGATACATTTTCAAAGAGCCAATTCATCATGAGTATTGGAATCAAAAGACAACGCGTTTATAGCTTAGTTGCACGAAGGGGGAGCGGGAGCGGGGGCGAGAGCGGGGACGGGAGCGGGAGCGGGGAAGCGTGAGCTGATAGAAGTTTCTTAAGTTGGGAGCGCCTTGAGAAGCGATAATATATATATATATTTTTTTAATAGTTATTTCTAAAATATATTTATTATATAAAGGTGAGTTAAATAATTATTTTTAAATATATTTATTATTTTTATCTTAGATATTATTTTTATAGATAATATTTTTAATTTATTTATATATATTTTTAATTTTTAATTGATATATATTATAAATAAAAAACAGTAAAATAATAAAATATGTTAAAAATAGTAAAATAATAAAAAATAGTAAAATAATGATTTATTTTATAAATCTTATTAGATTTTTTTTTATTATATTTGATTTAATTAGATTTATTATATTATTATATAACAAATTATATTATTTATATAACAAATTATATTATTTATTATATTATTATATTATTATCATTATATAACAAATTATATTATTTATTATATGTTAGAAACGGGAGGGGGAAGACGACGCAGATCGACAAGAAAGAGAGAGAGAGAGAAGAAGAAGAAGAAGAAGAAGAAGCAGGAGGTGAGCACGATCGCGATGGCCATGGCGATGACGATCGAAGGCGATCGCGAGCAGATCGCGAGGGCGAAGACGACTGTTCCTTCACACACTCTCTCCTCTGTCTCTCTCTCCTCGCCGTATCTGACACCAACAAGCTAGGGTTTTTGTTCTTCTTCACCAACGATCCCATCTTGGCTAGGATCGCGTTTCTCTCTCTACGGAAACGCAATTCCTACACGTTTCTTTCTAAGAAACGCGGACGATTCCTGCAACTAAGGTTTATAGTCTAAAAGGAACGGACACTTCAGCGAAGGAAGCGTATGGTGATCACGATACTTCAGAGATACTTCTTAAATCCTCTGAACACGTCATAAGTGATAACTTTTTCTTATTAATAATGTTCTGCATTCTTCATAACACAATTTATGCGTTCTTCTAAATATATTTTGAAATATTTATAGGATGCATATAACATGTGTATTACAATTTCTATAATTGTTTTGCATTCTTTAGAATGTAATTGTAACATACAAGATATCTTGATGTTTTAAGTTACAAAATATATAAACATTCATATGTATGAAATATAATAAATTTGTAAAAATACGAAATTTTAACATGCCACAAGTGTGTCGTGTCTTGCATTTTTGAAAAATAACATGTCCGCTAGTCCGAGTGTAGTTGTTGGATGACAAAGAAACATGGACATGAAGTACTATATTTTTTCGATATGAAATTTCTATGTATGAGGAGAATAAAAAAGGCTAGATAAGTATTGCATTAAGAAAGGAGAGAAACCATACGTTGTCTGTGTCAACTTCTACAATAATCTCCTTTATTGTTTTCTCATCGCCCATGTTATACTTCTTCAGGGCGTGCTCCAATTCTTCCATTGTGATGTACCTAAATTAAGAGGCAAGAACGACAAAGCATAAATTATTTAAGAATCAGTCCTACAACTATGTTTAGGCGAAAATGGGAACAAAAATTGCTGTAATGATGTGTAACATAATAAGATAACAATAGATTTGAGAGAGAAGCTTACCCGCTCTTGTCCTCGTCAAAATATTCAAAGGCAGTGTATAAGTGGTGCTCTCTTTCCACTCTATTCATATGCATTGTAGCAGTTATAAATTCAATGTAATCAATTGTTCCATTTCCATCCACATCAGCCTGGAAGAACCATGATATTTTAGTTTTAACTGTGGAATAGCTTGTGAAAGTTCAAGTTTCTACCTATGAAATCTAATTTCATCTAGAAAGTGAAAGAGAAAACAGCTAAAATTAAGGACCGGCTGATTATGACAATGCTCAAAAACGATGAAAAGCCCATCATGATATCCCACGTGCATGTAGGAACTAGAGCAATATATCCAAAAGCACCGAGAAGATAAGCTAAAAATAAATAAATAAATAAATAAATAAATAAATAAAAACCAGAAAAACTGGAGATACCGCTTCCATCAACTGCCTCACTTCCGACTCAGAAAGCTTGGAACCCATTTTTGGAAGACCAGCTTTCAGCTCTTCAAAAGTAATCGTTCCACTGTTATCTGTGTCCATTGATTTGAACATTTCCTTCAAGCCAACAATTTCTTCTTCAGAAAGATTTTCTGCGATGACCTAGAAGCTCAAGAAACCATAATTAGATTCTCCAAGTTTAACCAGAACCAAAGCCCAACATACAGATTAAAATAAATTAAAATTTTCAAGAATATTTGTAGGGACAAAATAAAAACAATAAGATACTCTCAGTCCCACCTTTAGCGCTACTTTTTTGAGCTTGTTCATTGCACGGAACTGCTTCATTCTAGTTAAGACAGCAACATCAATGGGCTTATCAGATGCATCCCCGTCTTCTCTCATCCATGGATGATCTACATTTCATTTTTAGTTGATTGAGCTTTCATTTCTAACCCACAGAATGCAAGTTGTGATATAGCTCCCACTAGATAGCACATGGAACGTTAAGTGATGTATTTCTTGACTTAAATCTACAAAAAATAATGGAATTTTCGTACCACAAAAAAGATAATGTATATGATTAAGTAGTTTTGGGGTTAAGTAGAGAAAATATGTGTCTATATATATTGATAAATAAAAAACATATGCATATATAACTTCCATCAGGACCATCACTCCTTATCTGCTGACCAAGATGTTGAATTGACCAGTAATCATAATAAGTAATGTAGATCAATCCAGGTTCTCTAAAAATAATTTAACGTCCAACTAATATTTGCATTAAATTTTTTTTGAAGGTATAAATTGACCCCAAGTGACGTAAAAGAAAGATCAAGCCATCACCTTTACCACAGCTACAATGGATTTTGTGGCAGGAACTAAATATTCAAACCCTTCCATATGGTCCTATCTAAATAAAAAAACTTCCGTATGGTACTGTCACTAATGTAAACTGACAAGATTTCAAATAGCAAATGGCCAGGAAACTTTAATATAGGAAGGGTGTGACCAAGAGATCAATCAATATATTGAGTGTATCACTAAGGCCTGCATTGTAAACAAAGGGGTCCAGTTTTTTGCAGGAATCCCCTCAAGGCCTTTAGCAATTGCTCTTTAATGACTCATCTGGGTCTCGTGTGCTCAGGGCATCTGGTTTGAAAAAAAATAAAAATAAAATAAATAACTCTCTCCTTTCTGTTTTCATTCCATAGTTACCTAGAGGCTATTACTACATTCTCAACAATCTTTTCAGTGTTTGAACTTACTTAATACTTCAGTTGCAGAAGCCCTTTCTTTAGGATCAGCCCGTAGCATGTTCTTGACAACATCTTTGGCACTACTGGATATGGATGGCCAAGGTTCACTTGAAAAATCAAGATGTCCCCGCAAAACAGCATCAAATATACTCTGTTCATTTTCTGCATGGGATAGAATAATGAAAAAATGAGAAGATTGCAACTGTTAGGCCATATTGAGAAGTATTAACCATCAAAAAGTCTATAACACCTCCCACACACCCAAATAAATAAATAAGAGCAATCACAACTGATAATCTGAAAACACCCAACGTTTCTGAGTCTGTCATACTTTATGGATCTTACCTTCCATATGACATAAAGACATTGTTCAGAATAGAAATAGTTATGCCATGAGGTTCTCCTGATGAGGCATAAAATAAACTTCATGCAGAACTTCCACTAAACCATTTGTGTAAAGCTGATTTTGTAATTAATGACCATCTATTTTGGATTTCAAGTCTTATCTTATGGTAAGGATCCTCAATTATTTGGCTGACCAATTAGAAAATAGTGGAACCAACGACGATGTGCATTTGTAATAAAAAAGATGTTTATCAACAGTAGAGACTTGGGTTATGCTTGGCCAGAAAAAAGTAGAGAAATTGAAAAAAAGAAGGTTGTCTTATGTATGATCACCTCATCAGGTAACAAAGAAACATACCTCCCCAAAATGGTGGGACCCCACTGAGTAATATATATAATATCACCCCAGCACTCCATATATCAGCCTCAGCTCCATAATTTCGACGCAATACCTCAGGAGCTACATAATATGCAGAGAGAAGCAGAGACGAGACGAAGAGAGAGAGAGAGAAGCAGAAACGAAGGGAGAGACGAAGGCGATCGAGCTCGAGGTCGAGATCGACAGTGATCGAAGCCCTAGACGAAGACGATCGAAGCCCTAGACGAAGACGATCGAAGCCCTAGACGAAGACGATCGAAGCCCTAGACGAAGACGATCGAAGCCCTAGACGAAGACGATCGAAGCCCTAGACGAAGACGCTCGAGGTCGAGATCGACAGTGATCGAAGCCCTAGACGAAGACGATCGAAGCCCTAGACGAAGACGATCGTGATCAACAGTGAGAGCCCTGATCGTGATCGATGATCGAAGCAACAGTGACCAGGTTCTCTTCCTTTCTCCTCTTCCATTTCTTTGCTGTCTGTAAAGTGCCGTGTCCGAGAGAGACGAGGCGAATCCGACACAGATCTCACACCCGCACCCGTGTCGTGTCGTGTCGACACGGGTACTTCGCCCCAAAGTGACGAGTCCATGTAACATAGCCCACAAATGCTGGTCAATAGTTTATAGAAAAGAGCATACTGAAAATAAAACTAAAAAGAAAAGCCCTAAAGAACCAATGAGGTGTGTAGATGGGGAGTTTTGTTTTGGGGAGGGTATAGAATGATTTCAACAGGTGATTCAAACATTTAAAACAATAAATAACTTACAGAATACTAGAGTGAATCAGTCAGGCTACATTTGCACAAGTTCAAATAATTCCTCCACATGATGAAAAATTAATAGCTTGGCAAAGGAGGAGGAGGAATGACTTAGAAACGTTGGAAGTGGAAGAATGCTTTGATTTGATGTCGGTCTCATACACATATCTACAAGCTCTTATGACCTTTCATCATTTGTTTAATCACTAAATGATTTTGCCAAGGAGCCACTATTTTCACATTTGACCAATTCACAATTTTAGTAGTACTTCAAGTTATAAATAATTGATTGAGAGGGCCAATTTTTTGGTAAGATTAAGAGGACTCTTGATTCTAGCAAAGGGGCCATCTTTACAGCTTTATTTTTACAATAACTAAATTATTAAATAGGCAAATGCATTTACAACAACTATTTGCACATGGTAACTTTTTTTGTTTTGATCTTACCAATCATCACTCACATGCTTTAAAAGGTTGGTTAGCATCTATGTAGTACTATACTTTATTATCATACCATTTCAATGGGGCATTCCTTCTATAATAAACACAAATTTGTTACAATTTATAGGTAAAATTAAATATGTTCTTATTTACTACTCTACTCGGTAGGAAAGATGGAAGTTAGCCGACCCTAAGTTTTTTAGGGCCAAGGTGAACTTCCAAGAGAGGGCCCTTTACGCATAATCACACAAAAAAAAACAATTGTGGAAAGATAATAAAACACTCACAATTTTATCCATTAGTTTCCACACAAAGTTTACTTTTATATATTTAATTACTAAAATCATACACTAAAAACTCAATTTAAAACAAGAAATAAAACACCAAAAAAAGCCTGAAGATATAATAATCAAAATTAAATTAATTGAAGCAAAGTATCACTTAAATATTACTCTTCTAATATGTTTAGTTGTAAAATTACTAATTAAGCTTATATATTCTAGCTTACCTACCATTTCCTTTTCAATTGATAGCATTACTAATCCCAGTGTTATTAAAGGCGATAGGCGCACTAAGGCGCCAAGGTCTCCTGGGGCCTAGGCTCAAGGCTCAAGGCGAGACGCAAGCTTCACCGAAGTAAGGCGCACCTTGTATAGAAAAAAAATATAAATTTAATATAAGTACATAATTTAGGGTCCAACATAAACAAAATGAAATGTTAAACATTTTAGTATTTTTCGAAAATTAGGAATTAGGGATAATTTTTCTTCTATTATTGATTTCGAGTTGAATGCTCAATGTATTGACATCTGTAATGTTAAAATCCACCTACTCTCCACCTACTTCACCCACTTAAACCTACTCCACTAAACCTAACCCACTACACCACTACCACCTCACCTACTCCACTAAACCTAACCCACTACACCACTACCACCTCCACTTCACCTACTCCTTACCTACTACACACTCACCCTCTTCTATATATAGGAATCATGAATCATTGTAATTGAAATCAATAATATAACAATTACAAATATCAATCAATAATACAATTCTCTTTTTCTCTTTATACATTAAATTTCTACATGTAATAAGAGTAGGGGTCTTCTGTAACTACGCCATATTAAATCAATAGTCAAATTTTAAACAAAATCAATTGAAGTAACAATAAAAAAAATCCTCAAGACGCGAGTCTTGGGCCTTATTGTGCCTTGGACCACTCAGGCGCCTTATTGAAGTCGCCTAGCCTGGAACACTACAAGGTGCAAACCTTGGGCCTAAGTGCACGCCTAGGCACGCCTTTAATAACACTGATATATCAATCAATAATACAATTCTCTTTTTCTCTTTATACATTAAATTTCTACATGTAATAAGAGTAGGGGTCTTCTGTAACTACGCCATATTAAATCAATAGTCAAATTTTAAACAAAATCAATTGAAGTAACAATAAAAAAAATCCTCAAGACGCAAGTCTTGGGCCTTATTGTGCCTTGGACCACTCAGGCGCCTTATTGAAGTCGCCTAGCCTGGAACACTACAAGGTGCAAACCTTGGGCCTAGGTGCACGCTTAGGCACGCCTTTAATAACACTGATAATCCCTTAAATCTTTTTTATTTTATTTTTTATGACATGGTTTATATAGATAGAAAAATTCTATAAACAATCTATACTTGAAAAACAATCATCCATACCTAATAAAAATATTTTTATTAATATATATTAGGGTTACACCTACGTGGGCCCTATTTTTTTGGACAAAATTTGGAGGCCATAAGCGGCCACCTTCCCTGCCTTCCCTCAAGAACAGCCTTGGTTGTGAGGGATGGAAAAGGATAACCTCAGACAATTAAATGGATGGAAATCAAGAGGCAAATTAAATAGGAGGTACAAAAAGGTTAGTAGCAGTAAAGGAACAACAATTCTCCCTCATTTGTTCAACACAACACAAGCATGTTGTTTGTTGATAAGAGAAAGGATTTTGTTAACACATGCGGGCACATGTTAAAAAGGCTTTAAAGAATTATACATTCTTTATTGCACTCAAATACAATCTTTTAAAACCTTCTTAACACGTGAATAATGGATTTGAGAAGGGAAAGAAAAAGGTGAAGGAAATGGAGAAAAAATTTAGTACATATTTCATTCATATTTTCCTTTCCCTTTCTAAATTCCTATCCAAAATCCAAAATCCAAATCCAGCCTAACAGAACCTCCAAGCTCTCCCTTTCCCTTCGTCTTCTTTCCTTCCTCCCACACGTACCAAACAGAGCATTTTTCTTCCAATTATTACAATATCCAACATAATTTCAATTGCATTTCCAATATGTTTTTTCCATTGATAGAAGAAAATTTTGTTAGAATTCCAGTCCTAAACGAAGCCAATATCAAGTGACCATAACCATAAAAAAAAGAATTGAACAGCATTGTGGTTGCAGCAAATACCAAAAAACCAAGAACACATGGACATAAAACTAACTCCATGCATTCTCATGTTAGCAATTGAATCTTACAATCTGAAGGCCCTTCAAGTTCCAATTAAAGGCTTAAAAATAACGCAAAGATAGATCAATCGATGATGAGAACGTTTGCTTGTGTATATATGTACATATGTATGCAAACGTGAATCACAATACACACATCAATTGATCAGAAGTGTTACCTGATTTGTAGAACAATGAAAGCCCAAAGTCAGTAGCTTTCAACGGCGAGTCCTCATCGGTGCTCAAGAACAAGAAATTCTCAGGCTTCAAATCCCTATGCATCACCCCCATAGAATGACAATTATGCACAACAGTAACGATCTGGCGGCAGAGATCCGCAGCGGCGCGTTCAGAGTAGTGGCCTTTGGTGATGATCCGATCGAAGAGCTCTCCGCCGGCACATAACTCCATGATCAAATTCACCGATTGTCGATCCTCATACGCACCTTTAAGCTCAACAATGTTTCGATTTCCAGTGAGATGGTGCATGATCTGAACCTCTCGACGAACATCTTCGACATCGTCTTTGCTGATGAGCTTGCGAGTAGCGATTGACTTGCAAGCGAATTGCTCTTTCGTGGTCCTGTGAGTGACGAGATAGGTCACGCCGAACTGGCCGCGGCCGAGTTCGCGGCCGAAATTGTAGGTGGAGCGGACGTCTTCCATGGGGCGGCCGAGGACGCGGCCGATGCCGGAGAGGGGGCGGGGGGCGGCGGAGGACATCGGATGGTGAGGCCTTTGGGTGGTGATGGAGCGGCGGAGTCAGGGCGGAGTTGACCATTGCAATTGCCCATGAGGTGTTTGATGGTGGGACTGATTGAAGGAAACGAGTCAAGACAGAGAGATATGCGCGGTAATTGGTCTGAACTGAAACCGAGGTTATGTACTGGAAATGACTAGAATGCCCTTGGTTAGCCGAAATTATTGCACAGGTCCGGAAAATAACATGACTGTGTCCTCATCTAATAAGGGAAGATTATGGGGATTATTTGATAGTTTTAAAGTATTATTTCATATTATTTATTACTTGACATCCAATAATTTATTTCTTAAAATTCCAAAAAAAATGTAAAAATGTTTGGGACCCTCAAAATTAGAGACCTTCATAACCTTCAAAATGATATGTGAATGCTCAATGTATTGATATATATAATCATATAGATATATATATATATATATTTTTTTTTTTTCTTTCTAAACTAATCACAAGTTTTGAGAACATGTAACATTGTTAAAAAAAAATGATTGAATCTCACTATTCTAACTAATGAATCCCAAATTGAAACACCACTTGCCATTGTCTCAATGAATAAAATAATTTCTCATCCAAATAAGGTCTTTCTTTCATAAACTTTGACCATTTACTTTTAGTCATGGGTGTGATTTAATATTGTATGTACAACATAAAATGTGATTAAAGTTTTTCACACTTTTTAAGTAAACATGCTAAGAAATAATTGCCATATTATTCTAATAGATTTTTATGCATAAGTTTTTGTTTTTTTTTAAATTATAATTTTTGTTTAATTTATATAGAGGCAATGGTTGCAATTGATTGGTTTTAAAGCCATTGTCAATTGAGAATTGTATGAAAGGGTTCAAGAACGTCGTTGGGAAATTCGAAGATCTTCGAAGATTCTTGAAGAAAAATTTGAATTCTCTAGAAAATGATGAGAGACCTAGATTCTTCAATAGTCTCAACTAAGAACACAAAAGTGAAGAGATGATGGAGATTAGAGATTGGGTGAAGAAGAAGACAAAGTAGCTAGAAAGAGAATAATGGCAAAGCTCTCCCATGGATCTCCCACTTTCATTCTCAAGGTTGATAATGGAGATGGGAAATTAGTTATTTCTCAAGAGTCATCTCTCCAAAATTCATCCCTTGTAAAGCTATGGGTGGGTGTTATTTATAAGCACTTCATGATGTAGGATGGAGACCATGTGCAAGGCACATGCGGAATATTCTCTCTAACCACCTTGTCCGAGGAGGTGACCTCTCCGAGGATGAGAAAAACCTCGAAGAGGAGATCAACCCCTCGGCGAACCCTTCTTCTTAGCCATATCTAACTAATGATCTCCAATTATCCCAAAGGGTCAGGGGTAGTCCCAGAGGACATCATGTCGCAAATATTGCCGAGTCTCAGGGACCACCTAGATTGTGCCACCTCGACTCGGGTATAGACTAGTTTAACTGAAGAGTGAATTTATCTCCGCTCACCGTCCTCGGGATTGGGTCCTTTCTTCGGACTCCATTACGCCCATGGTTCTGGTACGTAGATCCCGGAAAGCTCCGAGCCTGCAAGTGTTCTGGGACTCATTAACGGAGCGATTTCTAGATTACGTTTAAATCCATTCGAAGCCAAGTGCTTTGGATCTCTAGATTCGTGGATCCGAATCATTTTGAGTCTGAGTGCCTCGGATCTCTAGGATAGCTCAATACCCTTTCGAGTCCGGGTCCGAGTAAGTCTCTAAGTTCATGGATCCGAACCCTTTCGAGACTTAGAGTGATTCAGCCCGTTTGATAGCGATAAATCCAGCCCTCCCAATCTTGGACTTGCGATAAATTCGGGTCCACCAACCTTGGACTATTAGGCCTAATTAATTTAGTGGGCTCAAATTAGCTCATTTTACCAGAATTAAATTGATTGTGACCGACTCATTTATGAATTTGATTGAGTGATTCATGGTTGGGATGTAGGGTTTATAAATGGGAACCATGCCCACTATGTAAGGCCACAAATCAATTTTGACCATTGATTTGAGTGGAATATGTAAAATTCACAAAAATCATATATCAAGATTGATTTATAGCAGAGTCATATGTATACCACAGTAAACATTGAATAATTGCCCTCACATGAGCGCGTTGATATGAGATTTGCATAAGAAATATTTATGTCAATAATAATTTCATAATCTTGATTTTGAGTTTTCAAAAGTAATTTTTTAATGTTGTGTGTGTGTGTGTGTGTTTTTTTTTTTATTTTGTTATTTTTAGTATAAAAAAAAGTTAATATTTTATTCAATTTTTTTTAGATGCATGCTTACAAAGTAAAATATTTGTGAATTTTTTTTAAAAAAAAATTAATAAATATAGAAATGTACTGAATTATTGTATTTTTTTTACATTTGGTGAATTTTTTTAAAAAAATTGTAAATATTTGACTTTTTAAATGTGACTAAATTAAATGGATCTAAATTTTTTTAAAAAAATTCTTAAAATATTTATAAAAAAAAAAAGTTTCCTAAAAAAAAAGACAAACACGAAAAATAAAAAACTCAAAAACTATTTTTCAAAACTGTTAACCAAACTCCCACTTTCAGTGTGAAAGAGGAAAATATATATATTTAAGAATAACAATTTTGTTTATCCATCTTTATCGTATTTATGTGTGAATATTACTCTCCTTCCTAAACAAGCAAGTAATATTCAGTTAGAATAGTCTTTGGATCAAGTTTAATTCGTGCATCATTATGTTTGAAGCTCTCTCATTCGATTGTCGGATATGACTGATCTCCTCCTAACATTGATGACTGAATCCAATGTGTTGGGGTGGAATAATTTCTTATTAGTGTGTTGAAATCATGTAAAAATATATTCTATGCATATCAGGTGATAAGGATTGAGCTTGTAGTGGACCTGATGAAGTATTATAGCCTCTGGAAGTTGGCACAAATGACTTGCCAATAAGTAGAACACTCACCAAACCAATCACAAAAGATTCAAAAATTCTAAACCAAGCATTGCAACACGGGATATGATCCTAACCAAAGCACATAATAGCCTTATGTGTGAGAGAGAGAGAGAGAGAGAACTGGCCAACCACACTGACAAAACCATAACTATTAACAAGAGAGAACACCAATGACTCAAAACAATCAAGAACCCTAATTTTCCCTTATTATTCCACAAGGGTGGTGAAGGAAAACACTTCCCAAAAGTTCACACCATTTTAAATCATTGAATGAGAAGAAACTCGTCACCAAACACCACTTAACAAAGCATAACACCAAAGGACACGCTACAAAGACCAAATTCAAAACAAGGTAGTGAAATTTTCCTTACATCATCCAGTAATGGGGCATCACGCAGGATTTCCCTGGCTCAGACGGACCAATCCCAGAGTTTCCCGTCAACAGTGCCATCAGACTTCCACCACGCACCCTACCTTCTGAAACCAAAACCGGAGCAGCTGATATACCTCCATCATCAACTGGAAGACGAGCTTGCTGAAGAACTCCAAATTGTTTCCAACCAAAACTGGCAGGACTGGGCAAATTCACACCATTGCTATCCATCTTCGTGATATCAACATTCATATCCTCAACGTTGACAACATCTTTGATCTTCTCAGCTTTTCTAGGTTTTGGATCCTGGACCATAGCTCCCACGGTCGCACCCCCATGAACCCGTTTGTCCTGCACTAGAGCACCGTGTGATGTACATAACCCAGTCTTTCCCCTAGCAAACGAGTTACAGAGTCCATCACCTTGACCAAATTCCGAGCCAGGCTGGCCCCACGAGCATCTCTTACCTCCTCCGTGTGCCTTGCAAAAATCAGTGCTACCTTGTGCACTCTTCCCACACCCTTCGGATTTGCATCGCTTGCCCCCACCGTGACGGACACAAAAGTCAGTCCGTCCTCGTGCACTCTTTGTGCAGTCTGGCACAGCACATCGCTTACCACCCCCATGTGCACCACAGAATTGGGTCCCACGTGGTCATCAGCGGCAAGGAAGACACCGCCAACAACTTTGCCACAGACCTCTCTCAACACCTTTTCCCTCCACCATGTCCCTTGCAGAAAGGCGTGCTCCCTTCAGCACCCTTGGTGCACCCCTCAAACGTGCACCTTTTGCCACCACCATGTGCCTTGCAAAACATCGTGCTACCTTGAGCTCCTTTGTTGCATGATTGATACTGGCATCTACGGCCACCTCCATGTGATATGCAAAGACCAGAGAGACCTTCGGCGCTCTTTGTACAGTTCTCTTTCTGACATCTCTTGCCACCACCATGTCGAATGCACAATCCGGATTTGCCTCTAGCGGCACGAGTGCAACTTTCATGACTGCATCGACGCCCACCACCATGTGCAATACAGAAATCTGTACGTCCTTCAGCACTTTTAGTACATCCTAGAAATTCACACCGTCGACCACCTCCGTGGGCCTTGCAGTAAACCGTTCGCCCCTCGGCTCCTTTATGGCAGCCGTGTTTCTGACACCTTCGGCCACCACCATGGGCAATGCAAAGGCCAGAAGCACCTCTCGCTCCCTTTCCACATCCCTTGAACTGACATGTCTTAGAATTACTGCTGCGTGGCTGGTGTTGTTGTTGTTGTGTGATCCCGGAAGTACAGGTGACTGAGCTTTTTGCTGTTGTTACTACGCTTGATGAGAGGTCCGGAACAATAGGAGCTGGATGGATTTCTCTCACAGTCTCGTTGAGGAAGAGACTAGTCCCTACTTTCTTTGGAATATGCAATGGATGGAAAGAATTTCCTGCTTTCCTGTGTAATGTTGTTGATCCGTCATCCATATGAAAGGCTCCACCAATGGCCAGTGGCATCTCCACCACACTTTGAGACTGTTTGGAGCTCAAATGGATGCTAGTGATATCAGATTCAGTGGGCCTAGTGGAGAGACTCAGCTCCAGATCAACCTTGGGTTGCAAATCAGTCACTTTCAGATTAGAGCTTGCAGATTTGTTTGGGCTGGATACCTTCTCATTCCCAAGGTGAAGAGCAAAGTCCAAGTCAAGATCCATCGAGGACTCCTCATCGATTTCTTTGGCTGAAGACACCGC